CAAAGTTAACAATCCAGGTAGACCAGTAGTATCCTCCGTGAACAGCCACACGGAGAAGCTATCAGCTTATGTGGACGAATTTTTGAGACCTATAGCAGAAAAGCTACCGTCATACATACAAGATACCACACACTTCATTAAGCGAATACGGAGTTTGGGCAAGTTACCCGAAAAGTGTTACTTAGCAACTCTGGACTTATCAAGCCTATATACGAATATAGACACAGACGAAGGACTCACTATTGTGGAGGAAGAGCTAGGCAAAACGAACCAGAACAAGCCATCACCGATGACATTACCGTGTCTCCTCGAGAAGGTTCTTAAGCTTAACAACTTTACCTTTGGCAATGAACACTACATTCAAATCAAAGGAACAGCCATGGGAACCAGAGTCGCTCCCAACTTTGCAAACGTATACATGGGTAGACTTGAAGAAAGATTCGTGTACCAAACAGAGTGGATGGACCATATCATACTCTGGGTACGCTTTATAGATGATATATTCCTTATCTGGAAAAGTGATAAAGATTCTTTGATTAATTTCATAAATTACCTTAACAGTGTAGCACCCTCAATCAAGTTTACACACGAAATCTCTGCACATTCAGTGAATTTCCTTGATACGACCGTTCTAAAGGACAATCAAGGCAACATCAGTACAGATGTTTATCAGAAACCAACTGATACTCATCCATACCTCCATTGGACATCAGCACATCCACCTCATCTGAAACGGAGCATCCCATACAGTCAAGCCTTGAGGTTGAGGCGAATATGCTCTTCAACAGACACATTGAAGAAACGAATCCTGGAATATTCGGATTTCTTTGTAGCGTGTGGTTATGCACAACGCAAAGTTCTCCACGAAATGCAGAAAGTGCTAACATTGACTCAAGAGGAATGTTTACAGACCAAAGAACGTGAACCAACAGATCGAATTCCTCTGGTTACTACATTTAACCCCCATACCACATTTATTGCAGAAATTGCTAAACAAAATTGGAACTTTCTCAAATCAAAAGAAAGACTATCACTCATCTTCAACAAGCCACCTTTAGTAGCCTACTGACGACCGAAAAGTCTACGAGACAGACTTGTTCGTTCAAGATTTGTAAATGAAACACCTCAGAATTTGATACCAAAGGGATGTAGAGCATGTGAAAGAACGAAGTGTAGTTGGTGTAAAAAGATCAACCAGACCACAACTTTCACCAGTCCCAATAACAACAAGACCTATACCATATTTCATACAGTGGACTGCCAATCGTCATGGATCATTTACATAATCGAGTGCAACATTTGCAAACTTCAATACATTGGCAAAAGCGAAACTGCATTTAACCTACGGTTAAACAATCACAGAAACCATATTAAAAAGGGAGTGAGTAGCTGCGAACTCACGGAACACTTTTTACATAACAAACGAACTCACGACTTTAACAATAATGTTACCATAACCATTATAGAGCAAATCTGAAAAGATCATTTAGAGACTGACAAAAAGAAAGAAGTCCTTAGAGAAAGAGAGATTTTTTGGCAAAGAACATTAAACTCCTTTCAGCCATATGGACTAAACAAAAGAACTGGATAAAGCTTTTACGCGAAAACCTTTATAAAGTTTTAGGTACATAAATTGTTTATAACATACGTTATAAAGGTTTTAAAACTGTTAACCAATTAGAAACACTAATTGTTTACGAGAGATTTTACTCAGCATTTAATTAAGCAACATGCACTGTACTACGTCACACAATTAACCAATTAGGACTCTGTAACAATTGCATGTTAAGGCCCCTGAGGAAGGCAAATGCCGAAACGCGTCGGGTCTTGAATAAAGCGTTGAAAACGGAAGCACATTCTCCATTGTGCAAATTATATATATATATATATATATATATATATATATATATATATATATATTTATGGAACAGTGCTCAATACGTTGAAGCAGAGCAGAATAAATAAATATTATGAGAGGAAAAAACGACGCAACTACATATCCCGACAAGCCTGTTTCGTGAATCGCTTCACTCTTCAGGGGTTTAATGGAAGAATATTCATGTGACTATCGTTTATATACTAAGAAAATTTACATAATGCGCGGTAAACTTAAAACTTTAAAGTTCAGCTGTTGCGTAGCAACGCTTTGTTTCTGTGTCGGCATGAAGATACGAGTTCGTTACGCTTATTTAGTGATGAGAAAAAAAAACAGGCAGCGAAGCAACATCCTCTGGTACAACCCTCCATTTAGCAAGAACGTCAGCACCAATATCGGACACAAATTCCTCAGCCTAATCGACAAACATTTCCCTAAAGATCACAGCCTCCGCAAGATATTTAACCGCAACACCATCAAAATCAGTTACAGCTGTATGAACAACACCAAACAGGTCATCGACAACCACAACAAGCGCATCTTACACTCGTCCCACTCACCTTACACAAAAGACAACAAAGACGGCACGGGAACCAACAAAACATGCAACTGCCGACAAAAGAA